CAATATTAAAACAACGCAAAAGGGATAACAGAACTACTTCACTTCAGTCCGCGATTACGCGAAGAATGCGAATAAGTTCAACCCCCCTTCTATCCCTCCAAGTCCCCTCCGCCATGTCCACAGCATCGTGACACTTCCAAGGTCTTTGTAGCCCTCGTTAATTGTTTCAGAGAGAACAAACAAAAAACAAAAAACCCCGACGGAAGTGGAAGCAATTTCATCCAGTAATTACTTCTAACTATATCACGACTCTTAAAGGTCAGGATGAACTTATTATATTCTAATTGACAATATATAGTACACGTATAGAAGATATAGTTGGGCCATGGGGACTGGGTAAAGAGAATGAACGCGGGGAACGACTTGTAGAATGGTGCAGAGAAAATAATTTTATGATATCACACACCTGGTATGAAAATCACCCAAGAAGACTTGGAAGAGTCCTGGCGATAGAAGTAGAAACCGAATAGACTTCATACTTATACAGAAACGTTTTAGAAATACAATTAAATCATCTAAATCACTGACAGAAGCAGACTGTGATAGTGACCATGTACTAGCCATGTGTAAAATGCGGATAAGACTGAAGAAACTTAAAAAGTCAAAGTACCCACCCAAATTTGACATAGGTCTTTTAAGGATAAATCAAGAACTGAAAGAACGTTTTCCATATGTAAGCAATAAATTTCAAGCTTTGGAATACATTACTAAATCGGAAGAACTATGGAGGAAAATGGAAGACTCAATAATGGAAGCTGTGGAAGAAAATATACCCCCGAAAGTTAAAAAAGCTAATAAAAAATGGATGACCCAGGACATCTTAAAACTAATGGAAGAGAGAAGAAAGGCAAAACCAAAGGTGGAGAAGTACACCATCTTAAACAGGGAAATAAAGAAAAAATGCAACGAAACATGAATAAATGATCAGTGTCAACACATAGAGAAGAACCAAAACAAAGACAGCAAATACATGCATTCCAAAATCAAAGAAGTAAGTGGGATAAACAGATGCTCAAATACAGGATGCATAAGATCAAAAGGAGGAGATATTTTAATGGACAACGGGGATGTCTTAAACAGATGGTCAGAATACATAGAAGAACTTTTCAAAGATAACAGAGGAGAAAAACCGGTAATAAAGAATGAAATAAATGGACTACCAATACTGAAAGCAGAAGTACAAGCTGCCATTAGGAAAATGAAACAAGGAAAAGCCACAACGTCAGATAATATTCCAGTTGAAGTAATTGTCGCGTTTGAAGAACTAGGCACTGAAATAACAACAAAGCTCCTAAGTGCTATTTACGACAGCGGTGAGATCCCAAAAGATATGATGAAGTCAGTTTTTATAGCTCTACCTAAATCTCCAGGTGCCACTGAGTGTGATATGCATAGAACAATTAGCCTTATGAGTCATTTTACAAAATTTTTGCTGCGAGTAATAACGGGAAGATTGAGAAAAAGCGTAAGACCAGAGATATCTAAAACGCAATTCGGCTTTGTTCCTGACAAGGGCACCAGAAATGCTATATTCACCTTAACAATGTTAAAGGAAAGATGTATTGAAGCATAGAAAGATCTGTATTTATGTTTCATAGATTATTCAAAGGCGTTAGATGAAGTTAGACATGATGAGCTATTTAAAATACTGTACTAGAAAAGCTAGACATAGATGGAAACGTTCTAAGAATTATCAGGAATTTGTACTGGGACCAAAACGCTGCTGTACAAATTAATGGAGAATACAGTGAATATAAGCAGATTAGGCGAGGAGTGGAGCAATGATGTGTTATGTCACGAGACCTCTTTAACATGTACAGAGAAACAATCCTTAGAAACATAGAAGAATGTTCAGGTCTCAAAGTAAATGGAGAAAATATTAATAACATCAGGTATGCAGATGACACAGTTTTAATAGCAGGCTCAGAAAAGGACCTTCAATTGCTTCTAGATACTGTTGTAACAGGAAGTGAACGTAAAGGATTAGTGTTGAATGTAAAAAACCCAGAATGCATGGTAATATCCAAAAAAGCAGCAAAGCCTTGTTGTAATCTCATTAGCAAAGGTGAAAAGATCAAACAAGTCAAACAGTTTAAATGTCTAGGATAAATGTTAACATCTGATGCCAAATGTTCCACAAAAATAAGACGGAGAATTACAATGGCTAATGTCAGTTTCAATAAAATGAGCCCAATCCTGAAAAATAGAAACCACTCAATGAACACCAAAATGAAAGTTCTGAAATGCTATGTTTGGTCAACCCTTCTATATGGCTGTGAATGCTGGACAATTGAAGACGTCAACACAACAATAAAAAAGACAAGTTGGAAATATCTGGGACATGTTCTGAGAATGCCAAAGACGAGATGGCTTTATCAGACATGGCATTGGAAACGAACAGGGAAGAGAAAGCGGCGAAGACCAACAGGGAACCTGCAGAGGCACAATAAGAGAAGAGGCAACCGCCGAGGGTCTAGATGTGCCAAAATTAGAGAAAGTGGCCCGAGACATACATGCGTGGCGTCGATTGCTCTCCGCCTTATGCACATGACGGTGTAGGGAGATAGTAAGTAAGTAAGTAAACCAAAGTGACAAGCTCTCGGCACGTTTTTAAAGCAACCGTCGAGGACATTAAAAACAGTTTAAGTGTTCCATTAATAAGTAAGACATGACAACACCAACAAAATTGCTGAAATTGAGACCTGTGGTTTAATAGTTTATCACCTTGGGGACCATTTCTTGAAGCAAAATAAAATCAATCCACTATCAATCGTCGAATTCTCCAAATTCCAGGACTATCAAAAGTTCCTCCAGTTCTTTTGGATCGTATAGCATAAAGCTACTTTGCTTTGCATAAAATCAAGTTACAAACAGAAATAAAGATATTATATTGCAATGGAACATTTAAGTTTGCCCAGTGTCATACGACAATCCCGGGCCTTTATTCAGCTCTGAATGACTACAATCTCGACACAACATTTAGAGGTGTATGCAAATTCCTAGTAATCGCACTGACGTTTTTTTATGTCGATCAACAAGGACATCATTGACAGCATCCCCAACTTCGTCAACAGAATGATGCACTGGACACCTTTGCTGCAGCAAAAGAACGAAGGGTAGAATTTTTCTTAAAAATACGTGCTCTCTAAAGAGGCAGGAAGAAGTTGCAGGATTATGTAAGGTCGTGGGTTCGAATCCCGTCAGGGGCCCGACGTTGTGTCCTTGGGAAAGGCACTTTACACGAATTTTCCTCACTTCACCCAGGTGGGAATGGGTACCCGGCTATAGACAGCGAAAGATCTTGTCAGTTTGTTGTTAGTGTTTGAGCGCTTAATCAGCTGCTTGCACTGTATGCTTCCCGGGAAGCTGAGAATGTTTCGGAGTGTTCTGTGGTCTGCTGGGGTAATAATATAGTGTAAAGCGCATAGAGCCTGCTGTTGAGCGGGGATATGCGCTATACAAATGCTATTTATTATTATTATGCTGCTTTATTTAGTTTTGTTTTTATTTCTAAAGTTTCTCTGACCTTCTGTCTATCTTTTCCTGGCCCCACCTCTTTGTTTCTCACCCCATTTCTTCTTCTGATGTTCCAAGTTTTTCGTAGGCATCTCAATTCCCAGGTGTTTATTTTACTTTGGTGACTTTTTAAAAATTGTCCACGAATGGGGATGGTAGCATAGTGTTAGAATAAAGTTGCTATTAATGATTTGGAGCTTTGTTCTATTGTGATGTTGGGTCTGAAACTAATGTGGTACCAGTTGGTAAGGCACATGTTTGGTCTTTTTTTTATTTTCTGGTTTCTATTTCTTTGTCTATCTTTTCATTTTGGTTGAACTCGCTTCCCAGGCTTTTGACATTTTCTACTTGCTAACTTTTTTTTCTTAAGTCGGCTATGATGTTTAGTGAGCCTGGTGTTTTCCTGATTTTCATCAACTCTGTTTTGCTTGTGTTGACCGTCATGTTGTGGTCTTCGCAGCTTTTGTTCAGTTCGTTTACGTATTATTTGAGAGTCTTCTCGTTGTCGCTCAGTATGCTTCTATTGTCAACGAAAAGAAACTCGTTGATTTTTTTGTCTTCTGGTTTAGCTTCTGCTGTTATTTTTTCCACGTATGTTATGAAAACAAGAAAGGAAGAGTCTCTCTGACTTCCTCAAATCATTTTTTTCTTTATCTTCTCTTTGCCTTGAAGCCATCTTATCACATAGTGTATGTCTTTGAGACTGGCTGCTTCGGTTCCATTCTCACAACGTTTCCATCATCACCATCAATGCCTTTCTCACTCCGCTTAAGGGTATAGGCCACAAACACTTTCCAACTTTCCCTAACCCAGGCTTGCCTCTTGATATTATTCCATGCCTTCCCCTTTCCCGTACACCATTCTCTGTGAATCTTCTGCAGGTTCCAAAAAGGTGTCCAAATGTGAGGCAGCTTGGTGGAATCAGGCTCTCGTTAAATTTTGGGCATGTAGAGTAATTGGTATCATCTTAATTAAAGCTTGTTCACTTGTCTTTATTTGGAAGAAAACAATATCAATTTATCTAGAATACACGTCGAGATATTTGCGAATGAAGGAGGTGGGGGTCATCTGTTGTCAGAGGTAAAATTAGAGAGAAAATGGCCGCCAAAGATTAATTATTTCCTTAGCATAAGAGCCCGTGGTAACTGAAAATATTTTTTTTGGTACCTTTAATCAACGTTTTTCAGAAAAATTCACACAGAAATGAGTTCTTTAATGGGCGCGAATGGTGTTGAGCCAAAAAAAAAAATCCATAAAAATTCACAATCTGCGGAAAAATGCAAGTTTCTTCATTTTGATTATTTCGGCGAGAGCCTGGTTCCTCCACGCTGCCTCACAAATGTCTTAATTTGTTGTTTCTCGACGTATTTCCTGTTTGATTCAAGAGTACAAGGGGAAAAACACAATTCTCAATTTTTGCCCTCTCCTACACTTTTACTTTTCGTTTGACATATAACCACCCCCATCCCCCGCACACACACACA